TCAAGGTTTGGCCGAACCACTATAAATCTGGTGTGTTCTTTCCTTTATTATTTATACATTTATTTCTTCCGCACTTTGATTTTCATAGTGGTGAATCTTGATTCTAGTTTTAAGATTATATTTTTTTTAATTACTGATTCACCTCTCTCTCAATTAGCCTTGGGCCAATTCATAAGGGGTCTAACATCCCTAACAAACTTTCTAGTGCCATCAACAAACTTTCATATCTGAGGTTGTATGCTAGAGCCTTTTGCTCGATGAAATTAACTTGTGTGGAAGAGGTCAAGAGAATTCACCAAGGATGTAGGACCTATCCGAGATTATATGTCAAAGCCTTTGCTCGATGATGTTAACCTGTGTGGAAGAGATCAGATCAGATCCCCCTGGAATTGATTTTGCGTTGATTGGGAGGGGGTGAACGTTGCGTGTATCCCAAATCAAAGGTGAAAAATGATCTATTTTTAGATCGTTACTACCTTTTTGAGGTCGAAATTAAGACCTTGCCTAAGGAGTAAAAGTTTCGTAAGGGATTATATAAATATTATAATTGATTGAAAGCATCCTTGTATTTATTGGGATTTTCCTGAAGTATCATGTTGATGAAGAAAGCATCGGAGGATATTTTTAACCATAGTTGGAGTCAAATTTTCCCCCTCAGTCTGCGTCTGATTCTTATAATAAGAAGTTAACAAGGGTGATCTTTTGAGATTGGAGCAACAATTGCCCCCCCAGTCGGAAATCACTTTCCCATAGACGGTGCCAAACTGTTATGTTCTGGAGTATTCGTGGCAATAGAGAAATATATAGTTTAACATCTTAGCATTGTACGAAGATCCAGCATACAATTAGATAAGAGAGAGGGTGTAGCATTCATAAGAGACACTAGAGTTTTAAGTGGAAACCCCTAAAAAAGGGAAAAACCATGAGGCCTGGCCCAGTTTGAATGAATCCACTAGTATTTGCATTAGATTACAAATGAGGCCCTTCCTTAAGAGAAGGCCTTGGCTTAATGTCACAAATGTGCATCATATATAGCACATTACATGGTGGGAGTTGCAATAATCAACATAGATATATTTGTTTGGTTTGAAGGGCTATAGTCAGCACGAGATAGGGGCCAGAAAGATTGTAGTTAAAGGGAGGTATTCTGGGAGAACTTTGGGCACCAAGTGGTGGCTTGGTGGAGTTCAAGGCCTCAAGTAGTGGTCCGAGGGAATTTTGGGCCTCAGGTGGTGTTCTGGTTGAGCACAGGACCTTAGGTGGTGGTCCGACAGAAGTCCGAGCCTTAAGTAGTGTCCTAGTGGAACACAGGGCCTCAAGTGGCTATTCGATGGAAATCTGAGCCATAGGTGGTGGTATGGTGAAGCACAGGGCCTCAAGAAGTGGTCTGGTAGAAGTCTGGGTCTCAAGTAATGGTCCAGTAGAAGTCGGGGTCTCAGATAGTGGTCCGGCGGAACCACAACATCAGGTAGTTGTCCGGCGGAGGTGAGGGCCTCAAGTGGTAGTCTTGCTAAGCATCGGCGTCAGGCAGTGGTCCGGGTGAGGAGAGGGCCTCAAGTGTTGGTTCGGCGGAGCAACGATGTTATGCGATGGTTCGGCCAAGGTGAGGGCCTCAAGTGGTGGTCCGGCGGTGTTCGAGGAGGAGCTTTTTCCTTCTCTTCCTTCTCTTCTTCCTTCTTCTTTTCTTGCTTCGGTCCCTCCTCAAGAGAAATGAGGGGTCTTTTTATAGATTTCTGTAGTGGCATGCCCCGTAAATAGGTGAGAGATCAAGGGTAAATGAGGAGTGGTTGGATGGACGGCCAATATTTAATCCCTTGATCATGCACCGTTTGTTAGACATTTGAAGGCCTTAATGATGTCAAAATTTTAAGATCTTGGGCTCGTTGGATTCGTCTCATCGAGCCGCTCAATTCGACCATAATTACGTCATGTTTGGAAAATGTTTGGTAGCCCAAACTATGGTTCAAATCCTCTAACAGCGATTCAGAACTTGATTTGGACTCATTTGGGCTCAGATTGAGTCGAATTTGGTGTCGTTGGGTTTATATTTCTGAGACATTCAGTTAGACTATAAGTTTGCTGAAATCGGAGTTCGAAAGATTCCAAATTTAATTTTGGAAGTTTCCAACTTGATTTTGCATGGAGATTCATGCCTGATCAAGATAATTTTTTGAGGATGTATCAATACTAGTGTTTATTATTGAATACAAATTAGATTCTTCCTTGGGGTGAAGGTCTTGGCTCGATGTAGAAAATATACATCATATAGAGCATATTATATGGTGAGAGTTAGAAGAATCTAATGATGTGAGAGTTGTTCTCAAGAGAGTGTTGGTATGTTCATTTTGTTAGTAGGACTGTAGTTAGGTGATAGTGCTCGGAGGGACGGCAATCAGCAGGAGAAGGTGGTTGGAGGGATTGTAGTCGGTGGGTGAAGGAGGTTGCAAGTACCATAGTTAGAGCACAATAGAGGTCAAAGGAATCATAGTCTGTGGGCGATGGTGGTCGGAGAGATCATAGTCGACAGACGATGGTGGTTGGAGGAACTGTAGTTAGAGGGAAACGGAGGTCAAAGGGAACATATTTGGCGGGCAACAAAGGTTTAAGGGAGCTTATTCGGTGGGCAACGGAGGTTGGAGGGACTGTAGTCTGCGAACAATGGTGGTCAGAGGAACTGTAGTCGGTGGTCGACAAAGGTCAGAGGGACTATAGTTAACAGGCGATAGAGGTCGAAGGGATTGTAGTCAGAGGGAAATAATGGCTAGACTGGTGTGTTGATGACAACTAGGTCGAGAACTGGCGCTGATCGACAACCAAGCAAAAATCAGACGGCGGTTCGTGATAAGTGGAGGGCAGAGGTCTATCGACAATAGGCGGTCGAGCAGAGGTCCGAAGGACAGGAGGTGGTTCGACAAAGGTTGATTGACGAGTAGTGGTCCGACGAAGGTGAACCGACGGGCGGTGGTCTGGCAACAATTGGAGGACAGACTATCTTCTTGCTAAATTTGGCGGACGGCCAGTGGTCCGGTGACGTTTGTTGGTCCAACGATGTGCAGTGGTCTGGGATGGTCAGCGGATGGGCAGTGGTCTGGTAAAGGTTGATGGACAGGAGGTGGTATGGAGACGGTTGGCGAACAAGTTGTGGTACGATGACAATTGGAGGCCGAGTAGTGGCCCGACAATGGTCAGCGAATGGGTGGTGGTCCGACGATGGTTGGTGTTGCGATGTCGGTCAACGAACAGGCGGTGGCCAGGCGATGGTTGATGGAAGGGCAGTGGTTGATGGAAGTTTTTTAGCGGAGGTGCATGGGTATAACTCTAAGATCTTTGAAGACTCAGAGCTCTCTCCAATCTCCAGCCAAAAGGTCCCTTCATGAAGAGAGCATGCTCCGATTTATAATGTTTTGTGAGCGGCATACTCTATAAATATGAAGAAGATACAAGATAATTTTGGAATGCTCCATCAAACGGCTTATATCGATTTCCTCTATCATAGAACATTCAATCAACATTTAATTCCGTAATGATGTCAAAATTAAGCGTTCTTAGGCTCATTTGACTCGTCTCATGGCGCAGCTCAATTTGACTATAAGTCTGCTATATTTGGAAATCATATGATCATCCAATTTATACTTTGAACCTTTCGAATATGTTTCAGCCCTCCAATTTGGATGCATTTGGGCTTGGATTGGACTTATTTTAATGTTTATTGGTTTAACACTTCGAGACGTTTAATTTAAATATAAATTTACTGAAATTGGAGTTTGGATGACCCCAAATTTAATTTTGAAAGTTGTCAACTCATATATGATTTAAGATTCGTGTATGATCAAAATGATTTTTTGTGACATATCACTATTATACGCTTAATATTTTTTAAATGAATTAGCTCATAACCTCACAAGTCCATTTAGAGCTGACCAAATTTAATTAGTTAACTCATAGAGCTCTGCTCATCGTCTATAAGCTATGAATGGCGTTTCAGATTTTTTATCCTTCAAAAAATTACTTTTTTTGCAATTGAATAGCAATAGAAACTCAGTTCAATCAGTCCTCGCTTTTTTTTGTCTCATCTGATCAATAATTGTGGTAAACAACAAAATAGTATTTTGGATGAGCGATCATAGATTCCCTTTTCTTCTAATAAATTAAAATACTCTTTTGTCGTATTCAATATTTTTCAGAATCAACCAGCTAATTAAAAAATTAAAAGTTTTAATTTAAATATATTTAAATGTTCGACATTATTAAATGGAATTTTTAATAAAAAAGTGATATTTTATTATTATTTATGTTTTTCTTATGAAATTGTGTGGTTTGCTAAAAATAAAATGCAATAAAATGGAATATACTATAAAATAAGCTTTATATATTTAAAACATTTTGAATGGTTTGGATGAATGTAAATAATTGCAAGTGATTATTTTTTTGATCTAAAGTAAAATGAATGCATGGTAATAGCCATTGGTTGATAGCTAATGGGGATGATGGCAGGTGGCGACGACCGATGGTCGACTGTAGTTGAATATATCAATGATGCCTATGATGGTGAATGATAAAAGGTGGTGGACCGTGATCGGTGATAGTGTAGGCTGGTGGCAAGTGAATGTGGCTACTGATGGGGAAATTATTCTGTGCAGTCATCTGATAGTTCGGAGGTAAATCAGAATTTGCCACGTCACTCGGTACACAGCAAAAAAATGACGCGACGCGTCCTGATTCGCCTCCGAATGGTGTCTGATGACTCCACAGAATAATTTCTCCTAGTGGTGACATGATGGTGGAAGGTGGTGTGTAGCTGACAGCATCAGCATGCCTGTGATATTGGTCACAAAATAATAAATAATTTATAATATCTTTGCAAATCAATCAAATCTAATGAATTTTGAACACAAAAATTTAACTTGATGATATTATAATTAAATCTACATATTTCAATTTTTTTGTCTTTTTTTTTATATAAACAAAACATCAATATTTTTAAAATATTTATAACCTTCTACAAAACATTTTAAAATATTTATAACCTTCTACAAAACAAACAGCCTCATTATAATATTTCTTAATTATATATTACATATGGCCACGAGAATATTAATTCTATCAACGTAGAGAACAAAAAGAGCAAGTCGCCGTACCTTCATTTCCTCTGCTTCTCCATCGCAACCACCGGACTGGAAGTAAGCTTCAGGGGACCTCTCCATGACTCCATTCTCTCTGCAAAACGGCAGCCAACACCTAGCAAATTTAGCGGCTTCGAAGAAGGCAAAGAGCGTGAGGTCTGAACCTCCATCATCAGAAACATAGACAGATAAGCGATCGGAAGGGTAGTCAAAGGCTAGAGCAGAGAGGGCGGTGCTCGCCACGCCCACCGGCGGCTCCTTATAAGGGTCGGCGGTGCAGATGAAGACGTCTAAAGCAGGAAAATCCTTGCTTGCTATGACTTTCGAGAGTAGTTCGGGAAACTCCCAGCGGCAAACGGGGCGCCAGCGGAAGCCTTGGGATAGGAGCCACATGAAGGCGAGGAAGATGTCGGCGAGGAGGAGGAGGAAGGAGGAGGGGGTGGTGGTGTGGTGGTGGAGGAGGAGGAGGAGGGATAAGGAGTAGAGAAGGAAGTGGAGGCGGTTTAAGGTGGCGCGGGGATGGATTTGGTGCGTGTGGAGTAAGGGAGCCATAAGAGGAGGAAAGATTGAGTATTTGTGTTGAGGGAGATAAGTTGGAGTTTTATTTGGATGGGAGAGGTTATATGCGTAATTATTTAAAGATGATAAATTATTGCATTAGGCTTAGGAAGTCATGGTAAGCTAATCATTAATTATTTTGAAAATTCTTCTTAATTATTAGAGGGCATATAGTAGGGTATGATTGGTTAGTTATTTGTATTTAATAAATTTCCCTATTTAATAATGAGAATAAAAATTAATAGATTATCTCTTAAAATAATATTAAAACTAATTATTTTTACGAGACTCTTCCAGCTACAGCATGATATTGAGTTAATTCTTAATTTCGTCAAGATGCTTGTTATTTTTGCACTATGTTTTATGCAGTTAACAGTGATAGTGAGGTAAAGTATTCCCGCTTTACTTGTTATCTTCATAGAATTCACTATGCTTCTTACAAAGATATTTTTGCTTTTTTGCCAAATATTTGTGAAAGGAGTATTGCATGTCCTTTAATTTGATGGTTTGTATTTGGTGCAGTTAGCAATCTTACAACACAATCTATTATTCTGATCTCACTTACAATGAAGAATGTAAATTTTCATGTTTATAATATGGATATTAAGGCTTTCAATTCTATAAATAGAGTAGTAAAGCATGTAAGTGGATAAAAATAGAAGAAAATTTTGTTACATTAAGTAGTCAAATTTCATAGCCTTTGCAATTATATTAGCTATAGGAACCTTGATGGGAATTTTAATAAATATATAGTGTAATTATTGTTGCGAATCTAAATGTTTTCTCAAGAATTTTGAATACTTAAGTAAATCTTTTGATGAATAACCAATTGTCTTGAATAGTTGGAGATGTTAAGTTGTGTTCATTTTTAGTTACAATGGGTTCACTATGCCACTTAATTTTTCCATTTCCTTTATCTTTATTCTTTTTCAGGAGTTTCTAGCTTTATTTAAAAACTATAATAGAAACAAATAATCTTTAGAATAAACTAAGGATTGAAATGAGCACAAGATTTATAATTTCTGTAACTTTTGTCCTTCAAAATAGCTAGAATATAGAAATAGATGACTAGTATAAAATGTCTGAGGATAATAGCTACCATTATTGTAATATTGTCAAATTGTCTCTCTTGATAAGAATTACTATTCTTCTCAACAATTTATATAAGTTTGCTGATACTAAGAGACTAGTGCTATAAACATAACATACAATTGCATATTGTTATTTTTTTGTTTATGAATAAAGAATATTTGTGGTCAACATTGATGATTTCAGGTTAGCCATTTTCTTAGTAAGATTATCATGTAATATTTTTATATTTTCTTTTATGTTTATATAACATTTCAGGATGGTCTAAAACTTCAAAGAATCATAATTGTCATCACTGAAGAGATTCATGTACAATAATCTGAAGAAAGCTATTATACTTTTCTTGGTTCATGAATCATGTTGTAAGCTAAAGCTACTTCTTATGTCTCTTCTTCATCTTCTTCATCATTTTTTTTCCTTTTTGGAACATTATGTTTCTAAGTATTGGGTGATATACAATGTGTAGTGTGGTAGATATAACTGGTTTTGAAATTATAATCATTCTTTTATAAGGTTATTGCCTATGTATATTTGTAATAGGCAGGGTGGTTGTGGAAGAAGATGTTTTTGCCCCTTTTTCAAGAATCTTTATATTTTTCTTATTGTCTACATCTTAGCAGCCGACGCCTCAAATGTTTAACTTATTAAATAAAGTGAAATTTTATAATTGTATGTAATTTGTTCAATCATTGATGCAATATTTGACACCTGAATTTTGGAAATGCTCACTTTATTGTTTCCTTTGTAGGTTCTATTTTATGTTGATTGCCTATACATTAGTGAATAAAAAACATTCGATGGGGCATGCTTATTTGTTGTATTATTTATTGCATCATTGTAACATGCTTTTATTCTCAGTTTCATTGTGGTTTTCATCTGGTTGTTTCGATTGACTCTCTACAATTCTTGTTAAAAAATTAAGTAATATTCTTTATAAAATTATGTTGATATAATTTTTTTTTAGATTTCTATTTGCATATATGCATTGATTGCTTTTGTATATTATGATTTTTATATTTTTTAATATGCATCTTCTTAAACTATCAATTAGTTGCACATGTGCTTGAATATATTAATGTTTTCACTTCATGTGTTGTCATAGATTTAAACAAGAGTAGTTTATTTGCACTAATACCTTTAATAAAGAAAATTACATAATTAAATATTTAAAGATGAAGATATTAGCAGTCATTTTAACGATACACTACAGAAAATTCAAGCATTACCGGCAGTTTTTTCCTACGATTTATCTAAGATTTCCGGCGGTTTTTCGGTGGTTCGAAAACCGCCAGAATAAACCATGTAGGAAATGATTTCCGGTGGTCTATTTCATTGACAGCTTTCCGGCAGCCTAGATGGCCGGTAATTTTTGTCATCAAATCGCCAGTGTTACCGACGGCCAAACTATTGGATCAACGCCGGTTGACTCCTAGCAACCGCCGGTTGACCGCCAGCAATCGTCGGTAAACCGCCGGTTAATCACCGGCAGCTTACCGACAATCAAAATTGTTGGTATTTTCGGCGGCTAAACTGTCGGGTTACTGTCGAATGACCGCCGTTGGTAAACCACCGATAATTACCGACAGCTTTATTGAACTTCCGACGGCTATAATAAGTGGCTATAATAACTTGAAATCATCAATTAATTGTTGCAAAAAATATATCATTTTTTGCTTTTGGATTATCTGATCCATGTATTATAAGTGTTAAGAACATTTACGAGGTAGTCATGCACATCTCTGGTGGAAGGTTGTATAGTGTTTGCATAACTGGCTATCAAGAGTACGGTGAAACTGCTTGATTATATGGGGTAAAACCATCAGCATATATTTCCAATCTTATGTTGTATGGTTTAGTAGCAAATGAAGCATGTACTAGATTAAAATGTTTCCACGCTTCATCATCTGATGGATTATAAAGAACATCACTGTTTACAAATTTCTCCTTATGCCATCTCATATGACCTGCTGAACTCATTAATGCATAGAGCCGCTGAAGTATTAGAATGATCGACAAATAAAATAAATGGAAATATGGAACATCTTTCTTTTGACGATGTTGTTTTTTCGATGTTGGCTTAAATCAATGAGCATTTCAGGGGCGACAATAAACTTATGCTGCATTATCTTTATAGTATAACATACATCTTTTGTAGTAGTGAGGCCCAAATTGGATACTAATTTTTTCATTCGATACAAATCTGAGAGAATTAAATTATCGGTGGATTAGTTTTCTTGAGAAGACCAATGAAGTCATTGAAACAATAACGAGGAATATTATATTCAATTTTGATACTTAGCATCCTCACTGCAATTGATAATTCCGAATGAGTTTTGCAATCATCCCAAATTTATTTTTGAGCTACATATAGTAACTCAAATAATTTTTTGGTTTATATATTTGGTGGCTTTTCCACACTAGCCCCTTAAATTAGGACCTATTATATCAAAAATAAGTTCTTCATACAGTCTACTCATTCGATCTTCATTAAATATATTTAAAGCTGTCGATGAACTTGCATGAGTATCTCTGTGTGGCTCGTACTCACCATGTGAGATCCAAATCCAGTAGTCTGGAACAAATTCCCTACGATATAAATCAACCTTCACATCATTGGGTTTGAAGAATTCTTGATTTTTGTGCTTCGAACATTGACATTTAAACATTCCATCAACCTTAAAGAAAGGTAATTGAGATGTAACTTGAATAAAAGTCTCATCTCCCTGTATAAATTCATCTGTCAATCCTCTTTGACCTGGTAATAATATGTTATATATCAAATATCTCTCTTCTTGGATAGTCATTTGGATTCTAAAGCAAACATTTCCCTACAAAATTGTGAAATCAATTATTAGAACATATGCAACCTGAATAAGTATTCATGCTTTACTTTCAAATAAGAGTATTTTATTTGAATTGGAGTGCATTCACCGACCATCCAATAAATACAACAATACAAGATAAATAATTTATGTGACAAAATGGAAAACTTGACTAATGACTCGTATCATATCTCTAAGGGTAAAGCCACTCATCCACCTAAGCATCCTCAACTCTACAACACTTAGCTCAGTACTATGCTTCTGTTTTAATGGCCAACATTCGGCACCATAAAGCATTGTAGGTTTCACCACCATCTTATAGAATAAAGTGTTTGGAGTCTTGAGGAAACTCCAAAACTATTATGATTTGAGTGTTTTGAGCTCATCATTGAGAGGGGAAATTCATTCTTATAACTCCTAGGAAATTTTAAAATCAAATTTGATATGATTTGAACATCTAGAAATGCATGCATGCTAAGATTACTTATCACTTTGTATAGTCAATATGGCTTGTAAGTAGCATGAATATATTCACATAATTCTAAAAGGGGAATTGAGTACATCCTCTAAAGAAAATCAAACACCAAGGTATAGACTCTAAGCTAGGTTGACCTCCATAATTCAAGTTTATCTTGAACTCCCTCTCTAGTCTTATCAACAAGAAGAATATCATGAGCAAAAAGCAAACAATAAGGTACATCTTGTAAGCTAGGTTGACCTCCATAATTCAAGTTTACCTTGAACTCCATCTCTAGTCTTATCAACAAGTTGTGAAATCATAAGTAAAAAGCAAACATTAAGGTACATCCTCTTGCAACCACAACAACATCGAGTCTTTATCCCACTACGAGGGGCCGGCTACATGAATCCTTTTTTTCCCATTGTGTCATGTTAAGAGTCAAATTCTCATTCAAATCTAATAAAGAAATGTTATTTATAATATTTTCTAACCAAGTCTTTTTAGGTCTACTTCTACCTTTCTTAACATAAGTCAAATCTAATACATCTACTCTCCTAACAGAGTCATCGGAAGGCCGATGTTTTACATGATCAAACCATCTAAGGCAACTCTCTATAATCCTATTTGTCACTGGAACTACTCCAACCTTATCCTGTCTCTAAGAGTAAGTCCACTCATCCATCTTAGCATTCTCATCTCAGCAACTCTTAACTATTTTTCTTCTCTTTCAATGGCCAAAATTTTGTACTATAAAGCATTCCATTTCTCGTCAACAAAACTTGATGCATTCCTCCACTTCAACCATCCAACTTCTATTCTACTAAGAATATCCCAATCTATTTCATGATCATTATGAACAATAGTCACAAGATATCTAAATTGTATACTCTTATTAAATGACTAGATTGCCCAAATTCAACAAGAAGAATATCATGAGAAAAAATCAAACACCAAGGTACATCCTCTTGCAAATGTCTAGTGAGAACATCCATGCGTAAAGCAAAAAGATATGGACTTAATGCTAATCCTTGATTTAATCCAAGCAAAATAGAAAAATACTTGTTCAAACCACCAAATAGCAAATTTGAGAAAAAAAATGTAAACCTAAATTCAATAGTTTCGCTGGTGATTTGCAGTCGTGCTCTACTACCGGAGTGGGGTGAGATCTTCAACCGGAGGGAGGTTGTTGGCGGCCGGATTCCTGTAAATGAAGCGCGATCGATCTTAAGAGGCCGGAGGAGTGGAGGTGAGCGTTTGTAGCGAGAGAAGAGGAAAATGCGAGGAAATAAATTGGAAGGTCTGGATGTCTAAATTTAGGGCATTTCCCAACGATTTTCCATCAGTTTAGACCACTGGAAATAAGTAACTTAAAACCGGCGGTCCTAGCCACCGGTAAAGCGCCAGTAAAAAATAAAACAGGCATCCTGACCGTCAGTTATTTAGACCGCCACTAATTTCGTCGACGATTAATTAAATAACTGTCAGTCTAACCGCCGGTATTACCGCCGACTATATGACCTCCGATAATGGCCGCCGGTATTACCTAAGTTTTCTTTAGTGATAGAAATACAACAAATTTTAAAGAAAAACACATTGCCAAATAAATACTAACATTATAATATCCTAACCACTAAAATTTTCCTATAAAACAAAAACTCTAAATTACAATTGAATGCAGGTATGATTTACATCATTATATTTAGTTACAATTTCTATAAACAATTTCACGGTGGTTTTTTATGCTCTCCATTAGGATTTTCTTTGTTGCTTGCATATATAAACTTGTTTTGAAAATTCATGATTTTCTAAACTAATTTTGTACCAAAATGAAATTGTTTTATATGAAATATTTTATGGTTTCTGTTTGGCTTATTATTACTAATTTTCTTAAAATATTTATTAGGTAATATTCTTATAAAGTTTAAATACTTATTATAAATTTTCATTGATAGGTTGTATTTTTTCTCTGTTATAAATTTTTTAATATTTTGCAGTAACATCAATTATGAAGTAAGCTGAGTCAAATATATATATATATATATATATATATATATTTGACTCAGCTTACTTCATAATTGATGTTACTGCAAAATATTAAAAAATTTATAACAGAGAAAAAATACAACCTATCAATGAAAATTTATAATAAGTATTTAAACTTTATAAGAATATTACCTAATAAATATTTTAAGAAAATTAGTAATAATAACATGTGATTCACCTTTTATATTATATGAATTTTGTATTATTGTTAAATAGTTATTGAAATATATAGATCAATAAAATGGAGATGTGATTGATTTTTTCTTGAATGTACATTTTGGAATGGAATTCATTTTTCTTTGGTTAAAGTTTTATAAAAACATTTGTTTTCTTGTTGCTATGTTTTTAAATTATTTTCATTCCTAACAAATTATTACTTAATTTTTTGTTGCAGTACAGATGATGAATTTGTTGGATCACTTGCTGAATATTTATAGAATTCTATAAGAACAAACTGAACTTCTTCTATATTTTGTTAGCTATGACGCAAAAGCATCACTTTAACAATTTTTATATAAATTGAGTACTATTGACATTTATTTTTCACTATTATTATATAAATTGAGTACTATTGACATTTATTTTTCACTATTATTATTTACTTTGAAGTTCTTAAATCATTTTAACTAAATTTGTATTGAGATATTTTGGATGGAAAAAATTTTATTTTCATGCAAAAAATTTTATTTTCATGTGATTTTTTAATTAGAGGTATATATGAAGTTTTGTGTATGATTGAAATATCAATTTGACCTTTAATTACATTGCACTCAAGAGTATGTTATTTGATGCATATAATATAGTCTTTGTAATATCTTTTGCATTGTTATATTTTCATGAATTTTTGTACATTATGATATTAATTTCAATTACAATCTAAACATTTGTAACATATTAAATATTAGTTAGATAATTAGAAATCAAATTACTGTGTGAGATGATTTTTTAGGAATAATTATAAGATAAATTTGATTAAGTAATGAAAAAGTTAGATTAACTTTTTGGCTAAATAAGAGAATTAATTTTAAAATGAACTCCAAATCTGTATCAAAAAACCTTTTATTATGTCATTCATTAGTTTTTTATCATTTTTTTATGAACATAGTTTTTTAGATTTTTTTAATAAATTTATCGTAAAAATAAAGACAATGCATAGTTACTAAGCTTTCAATCATACTATCACTCCCTTTTCCATTATCATTTAATTCTATAGTTGCAATGGAATGAATGATGAATGATAATTAATAAAAAAAAAAAAATTCTAATTCATAATATTTAATGTAATATATTTATTAGTTATAGTTTAATTCAAAAAAATTAATAGTTATAGTAATATAATTAATAATTATAATAATTTAAGTTATTAGATTATTTTTTAAAATAATGATAATATAATATAAATATTTTTAATATGAATTTTATTTTTAAATTTTTATTCAAGTGCATTTAATGCACAGGCAATAAAACTAGTCTCATAAGAGGAAGAGCGGAATTGAAATCATCAAAGTTGTCGTACCCATTGTAAGATTGGAAGCTCTCGCTTGTGGATGATTATATGGATATATATGTGTGAGCTTGTACTTTGAAGGAAGATTGGGAATATGAAGAGGATGGATTCACTGAAGAAATGTAATGCAAGAAGCTTGAGAGCTTTGAGAAGGAAATTGGGAAGGAAGAACACCCGCCATCTACAGCATTGGAATGGAAAACATATGAACTCAGGTTATCTTTGCCTTTAAAAAAAAAAAAAATTCCTCTTTTGAAATATTCTTGTTTCTCAATCTATTCTGTATAATTTACCATTAGAGTTATATGTTCATATATTATCTTGTATAGAAATTCTTGTTCAACCATTTCTACTGTTTGAAAAAAAAAATTCTTGCAAGTTATATATCTTATATTGGAACTATGTTCTTTTGTTCAATCATTATATATTTGCAAGTTATCCCTTCATTTCTACTCTTATTCAAGATTTATCATATACCGATTGACATCCTTCTCAGTGCAATTTTTGAAGATAAGTAAGATAGTTCTTAAATATGTCTTAAAAAATAAACAAAATATGATTACAATTATTTCCAATTGATCAATGAAACTGATGATGTAGCATTTGATTGACAGTGCTAGAAGTCTAGGTGTTTGGGAGGCTTTGCTTATAGTACATTATTCATGTAATCATATTACTTATTCAATATAAATTGCACATATATAACCCCTTTATCAAGTTGGAAACTATAGTATCGATCATCCAACATATTAGAAACTCCATTGTTCATACTTGAATCATAAGCAAGTAACAAAGCATTAGCCTAGCTAATCATTTTATGTAAAATAGAAGTTACCAAGAAAGAGTAATATAGAGGAAAGCAAAATAGAGGCCTTAGTAACTCTTTCTGGCATTTTCCCACCATCTTTTCTAGTGAACATTGCCACATAGATAGGCCACGAGTTTGTCGCAATGAATCCAGAAAGAAATATCTGAATCAGCATCTCATTCAACCCCCCAACTCTTATCATAGCCTTTATGAATCCAAAAATGAAGGAGATGACGTTAACAATGGCTATCGTTCCCATTGAGACAAAGAATGGTGAAGCTGTGCTAAAGGAAAACTTGTCATTTTCATACAACTTGTTTTCTTCTTCTAACTTGACTTTGCTTGTCAAGTTGAATCCTGTGGCTGAGCTCCCTATTTCACTAAGTATAAAATCCAAAGTTCCAAAGGTGGAAGATGTGATTCCTTTGATCAACCACATTCTTTGCTCACTCCACCATCTCTGGATTAATCCACCGACTTCCATGAACTCGATGAGGTCCTGAACATAGGTGGATAAGAAGAGGTAGGCGTAGAGGAAGAACCACGGGTCTGAGGCCTATGACAATTGAGAATATTTTAAGCTAAGATACCAAGAAAATGCTTATCATTTCACAAAGATGATATATATGATGGTTTTGCTTATATAATCAAGTTATTTTATATTATCAATGTATATAACCTTAGATTTTATCTTCTACTACTTTAATATTTAGACTTTTGAGATGTAATGATGAATTCTTCATCAATCTTTATTATATTCAAACTCTTCTAAATGAATTTGCTTCATATATTTTTCATAATTTTTTAAAAATTCAAAAAATGCTTAAAAAAGAAAATGATTGCATTATGGTGAAGTTCATCTTTCAATCTTCTCCTTCAGTAAGCCAAGGACCAAAAGAGAGGTCAGAGAGTTAGTTTGCATAGTGATCAGGGGTTGATAGTTAACTTGACTGATGTTATAGGTAAGAATTGGTCTTTTAGGTGGTTTGTGAGATGGAATAACTTGTACAAGGGAGAACGAGCTTTCCCTATCTTAGATGAGTTTGCCAAAGATAAAATTGTTGATTGTCATGGGAAAGTTGATGGTTTCAGAAGAGTTAACAAGGTTTAGATTTTGGACTTATATAAATAACCAGACAAAGGAATGACATTGGTATTTAATCTATGTATATTTATTATCTTTATAATAATATAATTTCATATAAGAAGGTAAAAGTATAAATGATATATACCTTCGGAAAAAGAGATTTGCCATAAAATAAAGCCAGTTGAGGAAGAAGACCATATATGGTTAATGGAATGCACCAACATCCCCATAATGCATAATACATGTAACAGAACCCTGCCATCAAAGAAATCTTTCTGCTTCCATAAAAAAGAGGGCAATATCTAGAGAAACAAACTTGATAGAGACCCACAAACCATCTCTTGCTCTGACTTACTGCTTCAAGTAAACTATTGGGTGCTTCTCCAAGAAAGGCTGGCCTGTCTGGGTTACAGAACACTGACCTCCATCCCTGGCAATGTAACATGTAACCTGTGTAGTAGTCTTCCACTAGAGAACCATACCTGAACCCAATCTATAACCAGCAGGGTATTAATAATAATGGAGGTTAAATAAATTCATATTAAAAATTGTGATATATATAAAAGCTACTAGAAAAAATAGATGATATATATACATATATATATTTATATATATATATATATGTAGCACATATTTAGGCTTCATTTGGGACGACTTTTTTACTTCTTCTTTTAGTATAAAAATTAAAATTTTGTACTAAAGAATTGCTTTAAAAAGTAATAAAAAATTCCTTCCAAATGAAGCCTTAAAGTCAATTAAAAAATGCAATAGAAGTCAGTGGAAGTAACATTTATATGAAGTTTGTTATTTTGTACAAATTATAGGACTGTTAAATTTTATCTTATGAAAATAATAACTTCCAAGTATTGTCTATCATGTCTTGTGATAAAACAATTTTGTTTTATAAATTTTATAAGAACTTAATATTTTTTTCAATAAAAAAATTCTCTTCTTGATATATATTTTGCCAGATATCGTGCATTTGAAAAAAAAATAAGCAAATAAATCTTAATTTCCTAATCAATTTTTGTATAAATTCAACTACGAAACATATAAAAAAAATGATAGTTTTATTAAAATTACATGACAGTCAAATTCAATTTCAAGAGAACAACTTTTGTAATTTTTGTATAAATATCTTATAATTTTGACATAATATATATTGCTTGTTTGAGTATACACTTTTAGAATGAAATGAAACATACACTATGCACACATACCTGAGAACCCCACTCTTTACGACCATGCTCATATTCAGAACTAGCTGCTTCATGAGCTTTCAGCAAAACAAGCTCTGAGCTCAACAAGCAACTCTGTACTTTGAATTCATCAGAAGAAGGCATTGCCACCGAAGGAGAACTATAAAGTGATCGACGAGAGAAGAAGCAGCCGGTTCCAACATAGTTGGGACCTTGTAATCCATCTAAGCCTTGTTCACCGAGAGTAAATAATCGCCTGAACTCACCACCATAGATATCATTTTTATTAAGTCCAGTAAATCTTTGTGGAAACTGGATGAATGAAAGGTTTGGTGAAAAGTCCTTGTCTAGAAAGTAACAGAGAGCTCTTTGAGGTGAAGTAGGATCATTGGAACACATGTCACAATCTAAGGTGAGGATCAATGGTGCATTCGTCATGGTTTCAGAGACTCGAAGCTTTTGCATGCATGCAAAAAGAAGAGTAAGTGGTGCATAGGCAGCGGCATAGGAAAATCTTTTAAAAGAAAAAATAATTCGAACGACCCCAACAAATTTATTTCAAAACAGAAAACTTGTAATGAGGACTAACGAGTGTATTAAGGGCTCCAGCCTTGAAGTTGTGAGGAGAAGCTAGATGTTTCTCCCTAGAGATATAGACCAGATTTGGGAGGGGATAGCCAGTGATGTCCTTGTCCTTCTTGCTTTCCAAGAGAACCTGAATTAAAATGATGATGATGATGATGATGATGATGATGTGCTTCAAGTTCTGCTTTTCATGGTTCAAAATTAATATAGTTTATGTTGAGCTTTCATCAATCCAATTGTAATTATGTAAAAAATTTGAATAAATAGACCATCCTAACATTGAATCCTCACTCTAATGATCTTCACCTAACATCCTATGCCCATTATTGCTTCTCAACCAACACACATCATAGAGTAATACCTAGTTCCTTTCATCAAATATCAACATTATCAAGCCCTCTCCATCAAAACTAAAGGAGACCATCTCTAGTACTATAAGTTATTATATTATAATTCTATTTTTTAAAATAATATTTGCAATTCTCAATATAAATAAATAAGAATTTTTCAACTAGGCTCGGCACTATAATTTTCATTCATTTTTAAGTTTCACATAAAAATTATATTATGCGAGTTACTTGTAGCTCTTTTGTTATGTGCAAAATCTTAGTATAACACTAAGATAATAATTCTCTCTCTTTTTACCATCATGAATATTCAAATACTTAATAATGTGAAATTTTTACAGGAAGCCATCTCATCCTTTAATGATTAATTGAATGTCAAAAACCTCATCTTAATAGGTAACAAATGTACCAACTATCATAATGAGCAATTCTTTCAAATGAAATAGCACTACCTTGAACCAAAACATAGTTTTGTTCTTCCTTCTTGTGACAAGAGGTATCATATGGATTATCACACGTGCTATATAAAGGAATCTCACATCTCTATTACCTTAATGTAGATTGAGAGAATTTTCCACTAAAGTTCATTCATCCGGCCATATTGTAATATCATACAAGGTTTTTCCTCCAACTATTGGATAAATAATGACCTGGATCCATGATATGACCTTCAACTCTCTTTATATTTTAAGCTTATAAACTTCCAACTACAATGTTAAATCCACTCATAACCCCTTTTAATAGGGTCCATTCACTACCTAAAAGTTATCTTTTTGCGACACACAAATCCACCGCAAAATAATGAAATCCACATATACAATTAGTGGTAAATTTGCAACGAAATATAATATGACGCAAAAAGTGGCATCGTAAAATTATTTGCGGAAAGAAAAAGATGCTGCAAATATTTTTATGATGGATTTGCGACATATTTTTGGTGAAATTTTAGCCAAAAAAACCAAAAAAAAATCATAAATTCCGCCTAGACGGGTATACTGCCAGCACCTGACTAGACTGCCTGCTTCATCTCCAGCCAGTCTGACTGGCTTGCCCGCACATAATCGCTTCCTGCATCTGACCGGACTGTCCGAGATTCGAACCTTGCTCCATCAAAAACCATTGCCCCTCTCCACTCGCCAGAGGAGACAAAATAGCTTAACTAGCTTTTTTTTATTTATAGTATAACTCATCTTGCAACAAATTTGCGGCAACAAATTCCACTACAACTGCTCAAAAAATAGCAAAAATATTTGTCGCAAATTTGTCTTTATTTTTTACAGAAAACAATCCGTTGTAAAGTCCATCGCAAATCGACATCAAGCTGCTAACTTTCCGGTAGTGCTTGAGATATTTATAATGAAAAACTCTACCACATGGCTAATAGAGTTTCCCATAGGGAAAGATTTCAACCTACAGATGTTAGACTAATTTAGGCTTCATTTGGGATGGCTTTCTTACTGTTCCTTAGAGAAACTTTCAAGTTCAAAAATTTAATTTTTGTACTAAAAAATTATTTTAAGAAACAATAACAAAGCCTTCCCAAACAAAGCCTTAAAACGGAAAACATTTAAAATACATATAGTAGTTTTCAAATATGACGTTTTCTCATAACAATAATCAGCTATGTTATTAGTAGTAGCAACCATCCCATATTAGGGACCCTCAATATGCATCTAATATGCTTGTTTACCAAGCTTTACGAGTTAGTCTTAAAGGTCAAGTCAAGACATAGATCTACTCCTCCCTTGTGGCATTGTTCACACCTTCTTGTCAAACTCTTCATGCTCTTTATTGAACATTAATTCATTCCAAATTGAAAAATCATAATGGATTCTACCCACCTCCATGAAATTTGCTAGGAATGAGGACACCATCAAAGAGTACTCTTAGAGATTCTTTAGCAAGGAACATCATATCCTAGGAGTCAACTATAATTGTTACAATGGCTCTTTCTTGGAAGTCCTTACTTAGTTACTTAGCCCTATTATATATATTAAACACTAAGGTAGGACCTAGCTAACTACTCCTACGTTGTAATCATTTACCAAGTCAAAGCATAAATTATGTCTAATGAAGCCATCAATAGTCTTTTTAATTAATAAAATGTTAAAAAAATTAGGAAAAATGCTAGTCTTTTTAAAAACCTGGATTACTGAAGGATGGTCTTTGCGAGTAAAGTTTTTCCATGTCTTGAAAATTTCCTTCTCCTCGGGAGAGCTCACTAAGTTGAGGTCGACATAACCTTTTTCCATAGCAATATCCACTCTTTCTTTAAGTCTTTCAAACATCACCTGAGACAAATAAGTATATGGTCTAGAAAGTTGAAGATAATATCATAAGTGACTAGTAAATGCACATTTGTAAAAGTATAGTCTTATGGTGTAATGCATAATATATTTTAAGAATATTTACATACATAACATATAAAATTATTCTTTTTTATATTCAACGCTTAAATTTGACTATTTTGCTCAACTTACCATGCAGGTTGTAATGCTGGCAGAGCTCTTTCTTGAAACTCTACACAATGAAGGAGTGTAAAAGACATGGTTAGATTTTAATGCTTGTAATACTCACTTTTTTAGTAATTAATACTCATTTACGTAGTAATTTGAGTGCATCACTACAGGAAAATCATGTATTATCAAAGAAAATTATTTATTTTCTCGCGGATTTCAAAATTTTTTGGTGGATTTCCATAAAATTTATATTCTGGCGGATTTTTGGATTTACTAAAGTTAGTAATTAATTAAATTAAATTATTAAATTAATTATCATAATATATTAATTTATCATAATTTATTAAATAATAATTAATTATCATAATTTATTAAATTAATTTAAATAATATATTAAATTTATAATTAATAAAAATAAGTTATAAATTTCTTAATTACAAATATATGATTTTTCAAAAAAAAATCAATTTGCCAGAAAATCTGCCTTATAATTAGTCAGAAATTTTTCATAATAATTCGTTGGAAATTCACCGAAAGTTCCATCGAAAAGCTACTTGGAAATTCATCGGTAATGGGACATTTTTTCTATAGTGCAAGTTGACCCGAATAGGACATAATAAGAATTTAAGTATGAGTGGTCTTATTGACATTTGAAAATTTGAAAAAAGAAAATCATACATTAAATTTGGAAATAAATTTTTATAATGGCACATTTGCTATTGATGTTGTTTTGGCGCTGGCGTGGGGAGCACTGTGGCGCTGGTGTGGGGAGCAATGTGGCGCTGACTTCTTTATATAATGGAAGAAAATTAAGGCACTTGGGAGAAATACAACATTGGCCATTCAAATATGTGGTGTTTTCTGCCTCTGTTTGGTGAACAACACTTGAGAATGTTGAGGTGCAGGGGGAGTGGCATTGCAATTTTGAGGTGTTCAGTATAGGAAAATTTTAAGGAATTAGAAATCCTTGGGAGCATAGCAGCACTGGGTAGGATAGCATACACCACAATGCTAATCACTTTTAAAAGTTTTTATATAAATATATGAACCCACCTCCACCTAAGCCCTTACCCATTTTATTTAGCCAGGAGAGAAGAGAAGAAGAATAGGAAGGAAAATAGAAGAAGAGAGGAGAAGAAAGAGAAACAAAGTTAAGTTTGAAGTCATCTAGCTGATTCCATCCATTGAGCCAGTTAGGAAAAGTGTTTCTCTCCAAGTAGGAGGCCATTGCCCTATGTCTCTTTTCTGTGATTTCACTTTTTGTAATATTTTTGTGATATAAATTGAAAAAAAAATGAGAAGTTTGTGATATCTTGATTTCTAGTCAGTACTCACCATATAATTTTTAGTTTGTTATATATCTTTTCATTTTGAATCTAACATGATCATATTAATGTTTCATCGATATTTCTTTATTTGATGCATACATTATAAGAAAAGTAAAATAAATTTGCACAAAAATTAATAAATGACTACGGCGTTGAGATTATATAAAATGATTTGCGTGCATGATAGATTGTTATGATATACATAAATATTGATATGAGTATAGAAAATATCATTAGAAATAAGATGAACATATGATCCCCACATTATGAACTTCATCATACTTGCATACATAATATAGGTGTAATGATAAGCATGGAATGATATTGATTCAGCATAAGATTAGCTTTTATAATTAATTGATAACAAAAAGCACATTGATTTACTTTTTCACATTGAATACAACTGTAAGTTATGTGCAACAAATTGAGTTGCATGTTCACTTTGTTTGTTTATATGTTTCAGAGAAGGGTAAATGACAAATAGAATAGATAGAGAGAGAATTATATCTATAGAGGTATTCCCTTTATACAATAGACATACTCTTTTATAATCATAATATAAATGTATTTTGATGATCAAATGATGGAACGATTAGTATATATATTTTTTGAAATAAATAAATCAGAATGTTTATATTCTAAATAATGTTTTATTTTTGTAATATTGGTGAATTTTAGTAGCTATTTATGTGAATTAAAATGATAAAAAATTTCTCTATAATAAAAGATTTTGGATAAATAAATGGTCATGTACTCAACCTAGTATTTCTCATTAAAGTGTATGGGAAGGGTAAATGACCATTAGAGTATATAGAGAGAGAATTATTGTTATAGAAGTAGTCACTTTTATATGATAGACAAATTCTTTTATAATCATGATAGAAATGTATTATATGAATAGATAATGAATCCTGATTATTGTTTGTATGTTTTAACATGAATAGATTTGAATATTTATATTCTAAATGATGTTTTATATTTATATTGGTAAATTTTAGTGGTTCTGCATGTGAATTAAAAAAAATAACAAAACAATTCTCTATAGTGAATGATTTTGGATAAATGATTGATCATGCAATGAACTTGGTATGACCCATTAGAGTATATAGGTTGTATCGACTATGGTTGTGAACCTACTAATGAGAAATGTGGCATTTAAAGGTTAATGATGAAGATGCTAGGAAGTCATATTAGGATCTCACTAGAGCGTTGAGATTTCATTAGGAAGAACATCAATGGGGCCAACATCATACAAAGATCATGAGTGATCAATGACGTGTGCAGGTGGACATTGAACCGAAACCATATGAATTAAGTTGGGGATGTGACCTTCAACTTACAAAGCACAATGACAAAGAAGGAGAAATTATTCTATGCAGATGCTGAACACAACTCTACATCCATAGACCAACTAGAATGAGCCATATCAGTAATACTGAGGGCAGTATCAGCGGTACCAAGCCACAGTACTGAGCTATACCGATCCACAGTACTGAGCAGTACCAAGCCGCAATACCGACATGGCCCATTCTAGTTAGTCTGCGGATGGCCTTTAGCGTCCGCACAGAATAATTTCTTGACAAATAAGACATAATGAGATCTCATGGGAGAAATAATCAAATTGAAATCATGTAAAGTTTTAATAGTGATGTCTTGTATTTTAGCTATTATTTATCTTAAATGTTATGTATGTAAAAGAGATTAGTGAGGGGAGTAGGAAGAAAATAAAAAGGTGTTCCTGCAACTAACCCAACCTTTAATGTGGTGTAGCAGAAGAATGATGCGAAATAGGGATTGTAGGAGGAGTTGGAGAAGTTAGGTGACCATCCTCTCACAATTTTATGTAAAAGAAAGGGAAGGAGTCAAGGGATTAACCCCTTATATTGCATGTATAGGCCATAAATATTTTTTTCCTATTTTTTTTAAATATATTAATTTTTTATGGTGTTTAATATGGGAGAAAATTTTTTGTTATTCGAAGACTTTTGATTCTAGCATAATTTAGATAAATTCTTCATGCATCCTCATGCATATTTTAGGACATAAAAATTATAAAACTTTTAAACACATGGAAAAAAAAGCCATGCATCATTTGATCAACTAAAATAAAATCTTAACCAACATAAATTAAAGAGCAAACAAATTAATGGCACTGTGTAATTGTTAATATATGTCTGATTGTTGCTTTAGATGATTATCAAGAAGACACTTGTCAGCTTCCTACTAGCTGTATTGTTGTAATTTGTTTCCTAACTTCTATATATAGGCCTATGTTTTCTTTGTAAATGACAAGATAATATACATTTCTTTTCTTTCTTTTACTGTTCTTCTTCCTCCTATCTTCTTTGCTTTGGTTGCATGATGAATTCTTTCATGGTATCAAAGCCAGCTTTCTTGTGACTGTGATCTCTATCTGTTACCATCGTATAAGATGTTTGGAAAATCTCTAGCACCTCCTTTGATCCTAAACCCATTCCTTATCAGCTAAAGTTTCTTCTAGGAAACATCAAGAGCATTATCTCCCTCTCTCTCACCGCTGAAAACTACCCGATCTAGCACTCACAAATCTTCAAGTTATTTAGAGCCAACGACTTTGAAGGCTTTCTTGATGGAAGCTGCAGTTGTCCCTCAAAACCTACCGCATCTTCGGATTGGTATATTGACAGTGGAGCCAAAACCCATCTCACCTCCGACCCCTTGCAGCTCCAATCTATTAAGCCCTATGGCTATTCACAACGAATCACCCTAGGTAATGGTCATCAACTACCTATTCTTCCTACTCCTACAGGTAAACTAAATCTTCATCATCTCTATCACATTCTTAATCTTTCCTTCAATCTGATATCCATCCATCTATTGTGACTCATTGCTTAGGAGTTTATATTTTTGATGATAACAAACATTATGACTCACATCTTTATGTTGCATAGTATTTTTCATACTATATTTGTTTTGTGTATATATTAACATTTTAGGAAAATCATACTCCATATTGTCGAAGACTTCAAGATAGATTAGATTAGGGTTTCTTATAATGAAGTCTGTAATTTTTCTATTATTCTTGAGTCTGAGAGAGTGTGATTGTAATTAGGTAACCGTGCACACACATACTGAGGGAGTGTAAAAATTTATATTTTTAAACTAATCGTACTGTACAATTTTGGGATGATTTGATCTGAGTGTTTCTCCAAAAAGTAGTTAATCGAATCATGCCTTGGAAATTTTCTTTGTACTATTTGTACTGATGAAATTACTTTCGTACAGAGGACATCTAAAGTACAAAATGGGCTCATCCATGTTTTGTACCATACAAAGCATGATTTGATTTAACTAGGTCATACTGTGCGATGTACGATTCATACAAACAATGACTAAAGTATGAAATGGCTTAGTACAGAATTGTACCAGCCAAACTTGTTCTATTTTTGAACTATTCGTATAGTACAATGTTAGTTCATACAAATAAATTTGAATTGTTCATACGAGACATTATGCATTCGTAGG